GGCCACCATTCTTGGGGACTGACATTTCAAACAAATTCGAAATGTTATTGGGAAATAAGCCCAAGAGGCATACCCGAAGGCTACGGCCAAACTAAAGGCTACGGCCAAAATACATACCTGAAGGCTACGACCAAACTAAAGGCTACGGCCTAAATAACGCGGCTCGGAGATGTCCGAATTCCTCAATAATGATAGGCCTTCAAATTCTATGAAAAATCGGTTTAAAAAGGCTACCCTACCTCGGCAAATAATCAAAAGGGTTTCGATAAAAATAGCCCTCGAAAAACCTTAAGAGGTATCAAATTATCTTAACACAAACATGCTAAGGCACAAAAAGAAAAAGGGTTTCAACCAACATCGAACCCTCAAAAAACCCAATGGGTAAAAAGGCATAAAGAAATTTTTACTATGTCTTTTAAGCCGAAAGGGAGAAATAATAGCCATCTTTTAGAGGCCATATGGGCCCAACCTAAAAGGGCCTAAGGGCCAATACATTTAGAGTTCGAGACCTTATTCTCACTCAACTCGGACCTAAGGGTTCCACGATTCCAAGTTCAAATAAAGCTGACTTGAATTTAGCTCAAAGATCCGCCATAAAACCTTAAGGGATATGTTACTGTAAGTTCGAAAATTACCCATTATTTGATAAAAACCCTAAGGGTTTGTTCTATTCTAAGTTTGAAACTTACTCAAACTTAGATATAAAAATAGTGCAGTCATGGCATCGATCAAGCCATCCGAAATCTCGAACATATTATTGAGCTCGGGGACTCTCCCTTGCGTGTCTAAAAAACCTAATGGTTTGTTTTAAGTTCGAGTTAGTGTTCACTCGATTACAGAGGCTGCAACAACAAAATTTTCACAAGGCAAAAGCACAAAATATGTTTGAACATAAAACTGAGAAGACATGCAAAAGAAGTTTTTCTATTATATATTGGTAAAAAGGGTTATGTACAAGAGACCGATCAAGGTCTTACAAAAAGAGAAACTAAGTCCTAACTACGGCCGGTTTCGACCTCTTCTCCGGGAGCAACTTCTCCTTCAGGCCCCTCATCGGATCTACCTCGACTGCCTTCTTTATCATCGTCTTTGTCATCAAAGGAGGCAAGATGCCTGGCTTCAGCTTCAAGCACCTTGGCTCGGGCTATCTCCTTGGAGAGGTCAAAACCTCGAGCATGGATTTCCTCGAGGGTTTCCCTCAGGGATTAACACCTTGCCGAGTCAATAATCAATCGCTCTCAGTTAGAAGCCTCCCAAGCTGCATTTGAGTAGCCTTAGCATCGGCCTGGTACATGGAAATGGACTTGTCCGCCAAGACCTTTGTCTTTTCGATCTCCGTCTTAGCCTCAACAAGCCCGGTTTCAAGCTCATCGATCCTCTTGGCTTGGGCCGAACTTTTCTCTTTGATGCCCCGAAGTTGAACCTCGGCCGATGACAGTTTGGCCAAGGTAGTTTCTTTTTCCGCAGCCAGGCGGTCCATATTCTCCTTCCACCGATCACAATCGGCCTTGACCTGATCGACTTCTCCCCGAAGCAGCTTAGTCCTTTCGACCTTTTGCTGCAGCTGAGATAGTGAAGTATTAGCCTCCACAGTTGGGTCGAGTCCATACTCTATCAAAAGGATAGTTACCTGTTTATCTAGCTCAGCCTCTTCCTCACAAGCCTTGGCCAAATCCGCTTGAAAGTCCTTTATAGTTTCGTCATTTTGGCCACAAAGAAGCTTCAGAGCATTCCTCTCCTCCGAGACCTTTTGGAGCTCGGTTTCACACTGGCTAAGGTCAGCTCGAAACTTGGCGAAGTCCTGTACAAAAAAAGGAAAACAAAATTTAGATTTAGAGAAAAAAGAGTAAAGAAAAGAAGTACAGTAACTGATTCTTACCTGAGATAAGAGACATTGGGCCTCTTCTAAAAGAATAGAAGCGTCACTGATATCAGACGCATCATCGACTCCAGTAAAGCAATCCCAAAAGGTATCCCCTACACTAGAGCCTCCGCCTATATCAGGGGTCTTCAACTCTCGAGCCTACCTTAGTGCCTCCTCAGAAAAAGTTGAAAGAGAAGGCAAGTGACATATTGTCATGGTCCCGAGCAAGTCCCTCGGGATGCTCTGATCGATCTTCGGGGTCTCAGAACCAGCTCCACCCGGTGTAGTTGCAGATGGCCAAGAAATGATCTCGACCTCTGATGATTCAGCATCCTCACCCGATTTCTTTTTGGAAGCCTCCTCGACACGAGGCTTGATTTTAGCAGCCGTTGTCGGCTCAGAAGGTTTGGTGACCTCGACGGCTTTCCTAGGTCGGACCGTCATTGCCGAGGCATTTTTCTTTTCTTCTTCTTCTTCGTCTCTCAGTCTTTGGACCGAGTCCATCGTGAGAGCGATTACTTTCCTCCTCACCCTTCGAGGTTTGGGCTTGGGATCCTCGGACTGCGCGGCACTCTTCCGCTTCTTGTCTTTCCCTGGCTTCGGAATCGGGGACCTGGTTTCTTCCTCTCCACTCAAGGGCCTCAAAATGGCATCCTTGGTTAGGCCTGTATAAAAGAAAATTAGTGATGAATGAAGTACAAAAAGTTTTTCAGAACATGAAAAAGGAGATCCTTATCGTGGTTCTTGACCTCCCATCTGCCCCTTGCCAAATCACGCCATGCGCGTTCGGCATAAGTGGAAGTTGAGGCTAACATCCGAACCCAATCTTTGAGGTCAGGCACCGCTTGAGGTATCCAAGGAATAGCTGCATGTCGAAAGGGGATATTAGGCGAAGTCGAAGAAGGTACGAAGAAAAAAGTTTAAAATATCACTTACGGTCGAAGTTCCACTCCTCAGGGAACGACATCTTCTCCTCCGGGATAATGTCGCGGGTCCTCACCTGTATAAAATGGCTCATCCAACTCCGATCCTTGTCATCATCGATGCTTGAGAACAAGGCCTTCGTTGCCCGGCGTTGGAGCCTAATTAGTCCTCGATAGATTCGAGGCCGCTACAACCGCATGAGGTGATTTAAAGTAAACTCCAGCCCCTCGGCCTTGCTAGAAAAAAAAGCGCATTATGATTACTATGCGCCATAGAGAAGGGTGGATTTGGCCGAGGGTGACCTGATATCTTTTACAGAGATCAATAATCACTGGGTCGAGGGGACCCAATGTGAAGGGGTAAGTGTAAACACTTAGGAACCCCTCCACATAAGCGGTGATGCTCTCTTCGGGAGCAGGAATTTGCACCACGACCTCGGGACCCCAGTTGCAGTACCTCTTCATGGCCTCGAGGTGGCTTTTCGTTATCGAGCACATGTACATCGACACATGCTTGCATCAGCCCGAGATCGATGAAGGGTTTTCGACCTTAAAGTCGGATTTTAGACTGCACGGGCCGGGAACGTACTCGTGGGGGAGCGGCTCCACCGGCGCCTTGTCGCCGGACGGCCGGGAAGAGGAGCAAGAAGCTTTCTCCTTCTACGGTACGGTCTTTGAGGTTTTTGCCATTGGTATAAGTAAAGAAGGGCGAAGGAAGATGAAAAACTGGTGGTTTCGGTGCTAACAAAGGTGGCTCTACAGACGGCAAAAAGGAGGAGACGAAAAGAGAGAAGACTTAGAGGTTTGATTAGAGCAAAAGTAAAGTTTGATTCAATGAAGGAACGGGTATTTATAGGCTCACGGCGACGGTTCGGTGGCGCTAGTGGCCGACCGCTAACTAACAGGCATTAATGATTTGGAGAACTGAACCGACAGGACATTTCGGTCACATCCGTCGCTTACGTCATGAGGACGATGTCATGATCGAGGTTTCAGAAAATCGAGGCTCAAACCATTTTTTTTCATTTTATTCCAAGAAACGCGGGGACTATCTGTATACGGTCGAAATTGAGCATGTCCAATTTTATAGGCATGAGGAGCTGCCTCGAGAGTAAGCTCGTAATAGACCAGGCTCGAGCTCAATGGCAGAGTATGGAGCATGAAGATCGAAGTGCTCGCTGAAGATCGAGACCGAGCATAGTAACGGAATGGCGAGATATTAGCAACAGATCGAAGATCTCGACGAAAATTCCGGAACAGATCGAATCAAGCGGTTATTGATACCAATCATGGGATTTGAATAACGTACCTTATTTAGGATTCCTCTACTATATAAAGAGGAACCCCATTCATTTGTAAGGGGAGAGTTTTGACTGATAAGAAAATACACAAATGTTGCTCTCTATTTCACTTACTATCCATTACGGTTCATCATTGTTTATTTTATGTTCTTTACTGTTCTTGTTATCCAACCTCGAGACCATCTCAAATCGAGGTCGAAAGCACTGCTAGAACACTGGTTTGATTTATTTTACTATTCAAATTATTTATTCAATTCCTTGTTTATCAATTGGTATTGGATTAAATCACGTATCCTTAAAACAACTAAATAAGTTTAATTGTTACTCGAATTTCGGGGTAAACACCCATCATGGCCAATTAATGCCGCAGGTAAAAGAAAATGAGAAGTAACGAAGTATTACATGTAAATGAGAAACCACCTTATGCATGTTGCATATCACATATTCCAAACTTTGAAATATCTGTGAAGCCAATTGGCTTATATAAAGATGGATTCGAGAATTTAAATCAGTTAAAATGAAATAGCAATAAAGCCCACTACTTCTGCTGGAAATTGGTCTTAATTGTTGAACACTAATAATATCGGCTGAATGCCATTGCATGCGTTTATCGGTGTCCATTTACATGAGTATGACTTAATAGTACGCTCTCTTATGGTTTTAATTGGATGACATCAAGTGTAGTTAGATATCTACTTTTATATACTTGAACATATGTGTTTTTATGTACTTGATCCATATTGTTTGAATTTGTAATAGATTTCCTATTTAGGAAAATTATTGCTTATCCATATGTAACATAGTTTATAATGAGATTCATTGTGTAACTTGGCTAAGATTATTGCGCTTGATAGTGTAACTTGACCACTAATAAGCGTTGCTACAGTTGAATAATCTAGAGAGAGAGCAATCTTTCAACTAAATCAGACTTTTACTTATTTTTTTAATTACCTTACTTCCTAACATTGGAATGAATATTATCTAAATTGACAACCTCTTTCTAGGGGATTAGAACGATGAGATTAAAAATTATAAAGACAATAAGCTAGACTCGGGATTAACACTAAAAGGAAGGAAATGGGTTAAAGAAAATGCTAAAACGGGGCAGATGGCAGCTTCTTATTGGCCAAGAATTGCCTAACTAGCTGTAGAGCTTGCTTTGGCTTGAATGTGGGAACTTGATGTCCAGCTCCTCTTACTGTCACAAAGGATAGTCCATCATAGCCAACTGTCCATCCACCAACCTATTAAGATTTCCCACGTTTAGATTAGTTCTCAATGTTAAGTACAATGTAAATTTAAAGTAAAATGTATACCTGCTTATTGTTAGTGTACCAAGGAGTCCAATCTTCATTGATTTTCAATCCAAGTTTTCTCAAAGTTAATCTTGTAGCAGTAACTGGGATTCTACCATCGGTATCTCCACTGATAAAAATAGATAGAGAAATATAAGATTTTTAAATATTGGTCTTTTACTCTTTTTCCCTCAATTGAAAATCTTCAAAAGAAAATTACATGTATCTATTATCACTTACCTATACACCCAAACGCGCAGACCACCATCGATAAGTTTCTTGATGGTAGGAAGCATAGAAGATGGTGCGTCACTCCAAAACGTAATATTGTCGCTGCAAAATAAGAAGATTATTAGTTACATATAAGATAATAAACCTAATATACACGGAAATTATGAAAATTTTAATTTTACTGTCTATGTAATTTTTCAGGTAACTAGTTCCAGTTATTACAAGCAAAGTTAAACTCATTACATAGAAATGGCAAGTGATTTTTGGAAAACGAAATACTCCAATAAAAAGAAGTTAAAATAACAAAGGGCATTTTGCTGACCTGCAATGAGTCCATCGATAAGGAATTTTAGTGACATTTGCATGGAGTGCAGCTTGAACATCTGGTCTATTCATATACATTTCTGTGTAATCGGACAGACAAGGATCGTACCCTGTTGGTCTTTTGTGCCATCCTTCCTGCATGTTACAATTTTGTATCTTTAGGCCTGAAAATAAAATAAAAAATCCCTCCTATTCCTGTATATAGTAATAAAGCATTGCAAGTATTTTTTTTGCCAATTAAGTAAAAGAGGAGCTAGCAATGATTTCTTAAACGACAAATCTCTCAACTCTTTTTTGGTAGGGAAAAATGTAAAGAAGATGGGAAAATTGAGGGGTAGTTCAGTATCACTTAGCCATAGTTATTTATATACATTCTCACCTCAATATTATCAGTTAGCTAGAGGTAACTAATTCGGCTTGGTGTAATTAAACACCGCGTGTGGCCACATTTTTTCCTGATGAGGAAAGACTTAGCGATACTAGTAATTTGTACACCAACAATATATACATACGTGACATGCATGCGTCTATATAATTTATCACTTAATCATGATTGAAGAATATATCAATTTAACTTAATGTATCACTTAATCATGCTAAACTTATGCGGCTTGATATAAATATCGTTTTACTTACAATTCTGGAGAGGGACTTGGGGGCAACTCCACGAATAGTTGGAAGGAGTCTGGTGCTGCTGCTACTGAAGTTGCTGTTAACACATGTAGGGACATAAAGGCTGTACATGTCTACGATTTTGTAAACAGCAAAGTACTGATTAAGAAGATCGTCGCAGTCATCGCCAGGATATTCCAAGCTGAAATTGCAAACTCTCTTAATGGAATGGTACAAATGATCTGATATTACCGCATGATCCCACGCATAGTCTATCATTCCCTTTTGGTCTGTCTCGTCGTCCATCAATGCATTGCCTACCTGCAATTTTTCATATTTTCATAATAAAATTAACTCATCATATGAAATAATAACGTTTTTGATAAATTCGAATACAGAATTTACTGGATGGATTAGGATTTAACTTGTGATATTGTACTCCCTCTTTGCCAATTTTTGTGATACTTTTTGCTTTTCGAGATTCAAACTTGTTACTTTTGACTGTGTATTGGAACATAGAATTTGTAAGTTTTTGAATTGGAAACTATGTAAAAAGTATTATAAGTTTCAATACTTAATAATTCAAAATACTTAAAAGACATATGAAAAAAATGATCAAAGAATAATTCGTTTGACTCTAGAAATCCGAAAACTGCCACATAAATTAGGATCGAGAAAGTATCATTTATCTCACTACATGAAATAAAAAAAATAATACTTGTGAGCAGCGGAATTCGTCACAAATTCCGGTGTTGCAAAAATTTTGTGACATGAGGATAAAAATTTCATAAATTGATGATTTTGTCATAAAATCGTCACAAATCCATCACAATTTTGTGACGTACCTGTCCATTAAATATAAGTAATTAGTCACAAATGAGAGCATCTCTTATAGTGTCATTAAATATAAGTGTTTACCCGAAAAATCGGATAATGTTAAATTTAGATATGGTTCTAAGGGTATGCAAATTTCTTTGATACAAAATGACAATACGGGTATTTTTGCTATAAAATGGGAATGATGGACGGGAAGACTGAAATGAGTTAGAAAAACAAGCACAATGAAATCTTAATATATCTTGGAGGACCTCCGTTTATTGCAGTCTATCCCCCTTTTTATAGTAGAGGGTCACTGCTTTATCTATAACAACATAATAAAATAATTCATATAGTGGAGGACCCATGATGGTTTGTCTCTTCCTTGATTCTCGCCAAGATTCTCTCCCTCGGTGCGGTTGTAACGGCTCTTGTCTGCGAGCTCGGCACTGGCTCGAGCTCGGTGTTAGATCGAACCCCCAGTCTAGGTTCGAGCTCGGTTCTGCTTTGGGGCATCGATATTCGGGGCATGTGTCGATCGGTGTTGCCCCATAGTCCGATTCGGACACGGGCTTGATAATGATATCGAGTTTTGACGTTGATTGGTCTTATAGCTCGAAGCTCGACGTCCCTACTTCGGAATTCGTCCGAGCTTGTCATGTGGATACCCTTCGATTGAAACGTCATTGTCTCGACCGGTCTTTATGACTGAGAATC